TCAATCTATTTTTGCTGCAACTGATGCAGTTGCTCTTTTCTCAGGGAAATTGTTTTCCCTTCAGCGTTGAGGCCGAGGGTTGTGTTTTCCTCTTGGAGCTCAGTAATGGTTATTTCCAATACAATGTTTCAGGAGGGCACTGCAAGTGTATGAGATACATCCCGAAGGTTACTGTGAGGTAGTTAACGTCATCCTTGCTGGAAGCAGAGCTGGGAGCAGGAGCGTTGGGAACTCCCTGGATCCAGGCAAGAAGTGGAGTCAGGCTGCAGAAGGCTGGGAGATTGGTAGCCAGGAAAGAGACCGATGTATAAACGTGGCACTGAATAACTCCTGTAAAGGCACACGTGTGGAGGCATAAAGCTGGGCTTGGGTCTCAGTCTGAAACAGAACATGAAGGGGGACACTAACACTTTGGGGCCTGGGGCTTTTCCTGCTTTGTTTAGTATTGCCACTATCGACTGTGCTTTTAAGCTGCTCTTTCAAAGCTCTGCTTTACTAGGGAGAGTGTTTGGTGCCTTTGTCCACAGCACATCTGTTAGATATGCCAGTAATGCTCAATTTAAAACATGAGTGTCTCACCAAGCAGTCAGGGACCTGAGCAGAAGCACAGTGGTGCTGTAAGAGACTTGGGTCCTGGTGAGAGGTAGGGGTGAGGGTGGAACTGTTGTCCTGTGGAATGCAGCACTGCATCGTCACACAGGAGCCTGCCCATCTGCTCAGCAGAGGCTCTGAACAGCCAGGACACATCCACTGGTGCCTGTTGGGGTCAGGTACCTGACACCAGGCTGTGAATTATGCAGGAGGAAGGAGCTGACTCTTGAGGTGGAGCAGGCACTCTGATCGGCTGCATCCTGCTGGCACAGCACTTGGCTCCGGATGGACCAACCGCATTGACAGCCCTGCATGGACGTGGCCGTGCAAGGCCAGAACTGCCCCAGCCGAGCTGCCAGCTCTGCCTCTGCTGCTTTTGGGCTTGTCACCAAAAGCCTCAGGAAAGCCGTATGGTTTGTGCTCTGCATGACCAGGAATTGTGCTCTGTGCTATCACAATTTGTGCTCTAGCTGCTGCTTTCCTGTCTGGAATAAAACTGCAGCCCACTGTTGCTGCCTGAGGGGAAGCTTTCCAGTCTCCATAGTAACTCTTCCCAGTTATAGGATATTTATAGGAAGTACAGGCAGGCTTATGAAAGGGCTTCAATGCACACTCTGTAGCCATGCCCTGGACAGATGGGGTGGGCTGCAGCACAGTGAGGTGGTCTCAGGTGAAGGACTGTCATTGCAGGGGCTGTTGCTCAGGAAGGGCAGAGCTGCAAATCCTGTGCATTGTCAATGCTCCTTTCTTAGCAAAGACATGGCGTTCAGCATGTGTGAAGGTGCAACATGTGTTTGGTAGCCTCTGTTAACTCACACAGGTCTGTACAACTCCTCAGTTCCTCTGACGTTGACTAAACCTAAAGCAAAAGGTGCAGTGATGAAACATTCCTTGCTTTCACAGAGCATTACTGGTCATGAACTGAAGCTGCTTCCTTCCCAGAAATAGAGGCACTGTGCTGGAATGCTGTGGGTTGCCTGCTGATAAATGGGAGCAAACAGCCAGGAGATGGACCATGTCACCTGGTTCTTGGTGCCTTGCTGCAGGGCTCAGAACAGGCTGTGAAGTGCACTTTAGAACCAGACAGCCCTGGTTGGGGTGATTCTGGAGGTTATGGTGTTCAATGGGCACTGGGTAGTGTGCACCTCTAAGCTGAAGCACAGTAATGTGTTTTGACAGTCTCTATCCCACCTTGTTAAGTATTCAAGAGGAAGAGTGTTGCAGGGTGGGTAGGTTTGGATTTCATGGAATGATAACAGCAAAGGACAGGATTAGCCCTCAGCAGCTGCTCCTTCCTGTGCATGGGACACCGTGTTTCAGAACAAGAGCGTTTCCATACTGCATCCCTACACACACACACTCCTTAGTTGTTCTCCTCAGCACCCACACCGAGCTCCTGTGTTTTACACACCATGGCCCAAATAACACCAGAGGTCCCTGTGCGCTATGGAAGGTACAGAGAGGAAAACGATGTGGGTCTGTATCATATGTTTTATGTGTCCAATGGCTTGGATGGTTATGGGAGTTCCTGGTTCCAAGCATGGGGAACCAGTCGTGCTCAGTTTTAGTGCTTGGGAGAGCTTGGTCTTGGATCAGGACTGCTGCATTGCTGTTCCGATCGCTGTGCTGGCCCAGGGAGGTAGCACAGGCCAGAGGGATTGGGTTTGGTGCAGGGAGTGAGGTGGAACTTGTTCCTTTGTTTGAACAAATTACAAGGCAAATTACAGAAGGAAGTACCAGCACTCACTTAGTCAGGTGTGACAGTTCTCATAAGGCAAACAAGGGTGAGATGAGCAGTTCTGGCTGGGTTACACTGGCAAAGGGATTCCCTGGGAGTCACCCACTGACGGTCAGTGACAGGAGCAGAAGACACACAAGTGCTGAAGGTTCAGCTCCATCCATATACCTTCTGCTCTGGGCTTTATTCTTAATGCTGCTTGGGTTTCAGAGGGGACACGTGGAATCTCCTTTTGCCTATGCCATGGACTCACTGCATTCATTCAGAAAAAACAGAAATGGTTGTTTCACCATCTGTAAGCAGGAACCAGAATCACACACCGGGTGGCAGGAGCTGCAGGAGATGTTGTGTCTGCAGAGATGCTCTGGTACCTGCAAGTGAAGGCAACCTATAAATACTGTGCTCATTTTTGCCTTTCTTATCCTTTTGCTATATTAATAAGCAACTCTGTAAGAGAATAGACAGCAGCACCTCTCATTGTACAACAACACGAGCACAGGCGAACTGCAGCTCAAAACTTCACCAGACAAAACTTCTCCACAGACTTTGTAGATGTTTTACCTTAAAGTTTCCTTCTTAACCTTTTCTCTGGAATGTTGCAATAACCCCTGAGTTCCAACAGGAGTCAGCCTTCAGTCTCGCATTTCCTTGCCCAAATGATGCTGCACAACCGAATGCTGATCAGCCGAATCTGCCATTAGATGTCTCTTGACTGGCCCATTTTCTAGAGGATAACGGCTCCTATTCAAAAGGCAACAGAAGAATTCTGTTAAGTAAGCCTATGTTCCCCATAGCCTTGTGGATGTTACTTGAAACAAGGATAGTATTTAAACCCCCAAAATAATCCCATAATGTAACTGAAAAAATCCTGTTGTCAGAAAGAACAAGGAGAGGCTGGGCCTCTCTCTGGGAAGTTCATGATGTTAGTTGCTACAGAAGTTGCTTTGCTGGCTGTGTACAGTTCATGATATTTTGGACTCTCCCTTTCCTTGGGAGGGTTCGAATGACTTTCTCCCTGACTGACCTCCCCTGCTGCAGGCACAGGTCCAGGCACGAGGTGCTCCATCAGCTGGGTGGCCTCACACGGCAGCAGTGTGAAGCCAGTGGCTGGAAGTGGAGCTGTTGTGCCTTTACCCGAGGCTGCAGTTGGTGAGAGTGCCCTCAGTACACACTACAACCAGCTAAGGGCTGGCTCCTGTGCTGGGACTGCCCCTTTGACACATGGAGGACCCACAAGTATGCCAGTACCTAAAGGGGTTCCAGGAAACCTGGGGAGGGGCTTTGGACAAGGGGAATGGCTTTAACCTGCCAGAGGGGAGATTGAGATGAGCTCTTAGTCAGAAGCCCTTCCCTGGGAGGGTGCTGAGGCGCTGGCACAGGGTGCCCAGAGAAGCTGTGGCTGCCCCATCCCTGGCAGTGTTCAAGGCCAGGTTGGATGGGACAGGGTTGGTACTGCACAGTGGGGGTTAGGGCTGGGTAGAGATAGAAAAGGCAGGAGGATGGAAGGATGTAATGAATGAGTGATTTAGATCACTTAAAGCATCACTATCTGTGGTATTCGCAACAGTAGTTTTAATCTGATGTCAAAGTGTGACTTCACAGTTCATGGCAAGGTTCACTCTGTGACTTACTACATGGATGAAACGTACAAAGGAAAATGGAGTCAGAATGGAGCTAAAATGATCTGCACAGAGACTGGAGACTCAAACAGTGAGAGGAAGGTGAGAGAGACCCTGTGTTGAGTCAGGGGGCTCAGGGCAGACCCCTTTGCTTTCTACACTCCTCATGGAGCGCAGTGCGGGTAGTTCCAGTCTTAGTCTCAGACTTGGACAATGGTTTATGTCTAATGGAATTATCTATACAAAGTTTATATGAGTATGGATTTAATTAGGATTAATTCAGCATGTTGTCAGTCACTCACCCAGGGTCTATGCAGGTAAGAGGTCTCTCTGCTTTGGGCAAGGAAGGATCTCTTAGTCTCAGGTAAGGACTCTGAAACCTTGAGAGGTTCCCTGTCATGTGTGTGGGATCCAGGGAGAGCTCAGAATGGACTCATCCAAGGATCTATTGTTGGTAAAAGATCTCTGTGCCTCGAGGAGCAACCTTGAGAGACATCCCAGCTCCAGGGGAGATGGCCACCATACAGCCACACTGCTCACTTAGGCTACTGTATTTATGGGATGGAGTGTTTGGCTTGTGGTCAAATTGCACATGATGGGGAAGGTGTCCAGGAGACTCCTCGTGTCCACTTCCTTTGTTCCTTGGTAAATGAGTGTTGCAAAAGCTGTTCCTGCATTAATCACATGGTCAGTGCTCACTGTGCCCCTGCTCCTCTGTGGCTTTCCCAGAGGAGTTCTTGGCCTGGCTGTGGCTCAGGCCTCTCCCTCCTTTGCAGCCTGTACCAAACGGCTGCTGGTTTGGTGCAGGGGTCCCAGAGGAGCAGAGCCTCAGCTGGCTGAGCTCAGCAGCTCCTGAACAGCCAGTGGTGGCTGTTTCTGCTGAGCTGCTCTGAGCAGCTGAATAAACACTAATTTTAATGGCTGAGGCTCATGGTTTTTAACAACCCCTATGTAATATGGGAGGACTAATTACAGCTGAAAAATGCTTGCATGAAGTTAGCGTTCTTCCTTTTGTGTTTAATCAACTGTTTGTCTGCTTGCTCTATTCCCAGTGAAAATTGTCATCCGAGGGGACAGGAACACTGGGAAAACCACACTCTGGCACCGACTGCAGGGAAAAAAATTTATTGAGGAATATATTCCAACTCAGGAGATCCAAGTCACCAGCATCCACTGGAATTACAAAAGTAAGAGGGAAGAGGGTGGAGGGAGTTACAGTCATGGGACAGTGCACGGGATAGAAATTCCAGTGCAGCCTCATTTGCTTCTTTCTTCTGGGTCTTCTTGGGAGATAAAATGGTTTCTCATTACTCTTGTTATTTTAATGGATTATTCACAGTTTCTCAGTCATGTTTTTAATAACTTTACTCAGGATGTATGGAAGTGCTAAAGGATTGGTCTTTGGAAGCCACAGTTCAAGGGAAGTGTTTAGCAGGTGATCCAAAAGATGGGAAACATTCGTGATGTGCTTGACTTGTTAATGAAACCACGTTTATTATGGAAATCTGTCTCTGAGGCTAAGCCCTGCTTTTGCTCTTACTGTGTTGTGTAGGAGTGAGTCGAATCCTGCTAACTATTTTTTTACCGATTAAAATATAAAGAACATCCTGTAACTGGTGAAGGTGATGTTGTAAAAATTAACGTAGCACTAATAACTGTAAGCTGACCTACTGAAGCACAGAAGTATCTTCTGAGCTTTTTGAAGTGCTCATTTGAATCTGAGAGATGAGGTGTGAGGTTTTTTTCCTTTCCCCATTGCTCTGGAAGCCCTGGATCTCGCCTGGAGAAAACCCTGCAGGCACTGAAATAGCACAAGGCTGCAGTTCATCAGTGCATTGAGTCCAGTTTTCAGGTTTCTGATCAGAAATGCCACAGCCTTGTGGGGTGAACTACTGAGTCAGTAAGAACTGATCTGTGAGACTGATTCTGCTTTAAGGAAAAGGTCAGCAGTTGGTTTGTCATTATCAGATGTTTCCCATCTGCACCACTCTGACCTTTTGTTGGATCAGGTACTCTCTGTCTTCTCACAGCTGGGAAAAAGCCAATGTGCAGTTGGGGTCAACACCAAATTGAGTGCTTCATCTAGTTCACCAATCACATTTGTATTGCTGGATGATACCATGATGCCCAAGTCTTGTGATAGGGGTCATGGAGCCCCAGCTGTGGTCACCAGAACTCTGCCTTGGGCTGGTGCGCTCTCAACCTCTGTTGGCTTCACAGGCTCCAGTGCAAGGAGGGTGAGCGCTGTGGGTGGGTGCTCTCAGGGAGATGGGAGCCAGACGTCTGGCAGCTCACCTGCCCTTCTGAAGACAGACTTGCACATGAGTCAGCTCTCTCTTGACAGCTTTCTGCAGAGCTTGCTGGTTAGAGTTGAAGCAATGTGTATATGTGGGGATGGACTGTACTCCAGGTGACATGTTGCCAAGCTGGTTCAAATCTCTGGAATGCTCTATATGAAATTGTGTCTTTCCTTTTTGCTTCTTTTTCATTGTAAAACACTATTATTTTCATAGGAATAATTTCCAGTAGCGTAGGAGATTCCCTGTTGGCCTTCTTAAAACTTGCTTAAAAAAACACCCCCTGTTTAAAAACCATTGTAAGGTGTTTCCTGCTGTGGAAACCTCCCATCCAAGGTGGGTGATGGACACTCTGGGAAGGTGGCTCAGCTGCAATCACTGCTCTGTTGGTTGAGTTAATCTGGAGAGGAGAAATGAAGTTTGTTTTTCCTGTGATCACGCTCTCAAGCTGCCTTGAATAAACCTGCTGGGCTGGTGGGCAGCACATATTTACAGATGTTAATTAAATCCCTATCAAATATTGAGGGATTCTTCCATTGCCTGGATTTAGAAGATTTACATTTTATACATGGAAGGTACCTTATCGTAGCTTCAGAAATTGTATACTGAAGGGATTAATACAGGCAGAGGAGTTTATTTCTTCCTCCTCAGAATGAACAAAATGACTTTTCTGTGCCAATTGTCTCTGTGATGGAGAGATGTCAATTTGTGTGTCCGGGTGAGGAGGTGCCATTCCTCACCTGAGGAATGCTTTGTCAGCCTGTGCCAGTCGCCAGTTTTAGTCTGTGTTTGGCAGTCTCAGAACGGGCCTGAAATAAAAATTGGCAACTACTTTGTTCAAATACATGGAATGCTTTTGGGATGGGTGTGGGGAATGGCAGAGCTGCTCTGCCCTGCCCTGGGGGTGTGTGAACTGAAGCTGATGAAGTGAATTGGCCAGTTGCATGAGAGTAAGTGTCTGAGGGCTTGGGAGTGCCTGTGGTGAACCCCCAGAAAGCAAGGATTCTTATTTGTAAATGAGCTTTCCTGCAGTTGGAGTGTTCTCACTCCTCTCCACCGTTGGCAATGCCTTAGTGTGCTACTGGCTGCAGAGTGCTTGGCCAAATAGCAACTGAGGACACATCTTTGGAGTGGTTTTATCCATGGTTTAAGCTGATCCAAGTTACAGAGTAAAAAGGCTGGATTGGCACTCTCTCTGCTGCACCAAAACTGTTCAGGTGAACTGCTGCTGCTGTGTATGAGTCACACCAAAGCCAACAGAGCAGCACTGAAGTAATTATCCTCTTGTGTGTTCAGGAGAATTGGGAATGAAGCTGGTGATGAACTGGCTACAAGCCAGCAGGAGCACTGGTGCTAAGAGGGAGAAAAAACACACGTGGAAAAATGGTTTTCCTGGCTCTCATGCAGTCGGTTTCTTTGTGGAATTCTGTGCTTCCCCTCAGACAGATGATGCAGAGCAGGTCTTTGAGGGTCAAACACTTAAACTCCTCAGCTGCTGGGGAGCAGGGTGTCAGTACTGCTCACATTACCCAGCTGAAGAACCAATCTAACTGAGGGTGCACTTGGTGTTAGGGTGAGGAGGTGGAGAGATCAGGAGCAAAGTCCCAGTGCAAGGTACCTGGTCACCTCCTAGAAGAACACTGCACATCACATGAGGGCTTCTGGAATGGGGTTCCAGCTTCTCTGCGGAGGCCCCTTCTTAATGCTTGTGTGCTGCTTCACATGGCACTGCTGGAAAGAGCAAGCAGCCTCTGGGCTCCTCCTGTGCCCCTGCAGTTTGTCACCTGAGAAAGGAAAGTGTCTCCTGCCCCTTTGCAGAAAGTCCTGCCTGTTGAAGGACACCAGGGATCACTTGGCTGGTCTGGCCATCCCCTTGGCCTTCAGGGGCAGCAGCAGCAGCACTGCTGGTCCCAGCTGCAGGGTCTCAGTTTGGGGCAGACCTCCCCTTGCTCATCAGTGTCACTGTGCACCGTGAACGGACCATGGAGTCTAGCAGCCACGTCACAGGGAGAGCACCCTGCAGTGCAGCACCTATGGATGAGGAGCCGTTCAGTGCCAGCTGGGTGATGACGGGAAGTGGCTGGACTTTAGCCTACCTGGCTTGAGGCCTGTAGAAATAGTCAGGGACAGAACTAACTTGGAGTGTAATGGTTTGAGCAGAAGTTGAGAAGCAGCAGCAGAAGGTGGGAGTGTTGATCTGCTGAAGCATAGGAAGGCTCTACAAAGGGATCTGGACAGGCTGGATCCATCTGCTGTGGCCAAGTGTATAAAGTTCCACAAGGCAAAGTGCCGGCTCCTGCTCTTTTTTTCACAACATCCCCATCCAACACACAGGCCTGGGGAAGAGTGGCTGTAAAGCTGCTCATCAAATAGGACCTGGAGGTGCTGATTGACAGAGCTGAACATGAGCAGCTTGTGCCCAGGCAGCCAAGAAGCCACCAGCATCCTGGCCTGT